TTCAAACTCCTGACCTCAAATGATCCACCTGACTCAGCCTCCCAAAGTCCTAGGATTACAGACATGAGCCACCACATCTGGCCTTGGCTTTTTGTTTTTAGGTTTTGTTTTTGTTTTCTTAAAGTAGGACATGCTGCTGGGTGTGGTGGCTTATGCCTGTTATCCCAGCATTTTGGGAGGCCAACGCTGGTGGATCACCTGAGGTCAGGAGTTCAAGACCGGCCTGACCAACATGATGAAACTCCGTCTCTACTAAAAATACAAAATTAGCCTGGCGTAGTGGTGCACACCTGTAATCCCAGCTATGTGGGAGGCTGAGGCAGGAGAATTGCTTGAACCCAGGAGGTGGAGGTTGCTGTGAGCCGAGATCATACCATTGCACTCCAGTATGGGTGACGAGATTGAAACTTCATCTCAAAAAAAAAAATTAGGGAGCGATTTAATGGGTGCCCATTTTATTACTATGCTTCCTAGTTTACATAAAATGTCAGTTCTGGAAATGTTGTCTTGCTTTGTTCATGCCTGTTTCCTTAACACTAAGAACAGTGCCTAGTACATAGTAGATGCTCAAAAACTATGTGTTGAATAAATGGATATACATTACTTGCATTATTTTATATGATTCAAATCTTTCATAATTTTCTTTTTTCAAATGTTTTGGTTTTTATTTTTTGTAGAGACGGGGTCTTGCTAGGTTACCCAGGCTAGTCTCAAACTCTTAAACTAATACAATTTGCCTGCCTCAGCTTGTCAAAGTGCTGGGCTTACAGGCGTGAGCCACATGCCTAGAGTAGGTTTTCTTAAAAGAAGGAAAAAACCTACTTTAGTTATGTTTCCCCCTTGATTATTCTAGCTGGAAGTTATACTGCTTCCTCAATTCCTTTTACTCATATAGCCTACTAAATACTGCTAATATTACAGTTATATGTGTACATGTCTTTCTTACTGATTTTAAATTTATGTAAACAAGGAAGTATGTTTTCTCCTTTTTTATACCCATTCACAATATGTAGCACAATACTTCTCACATAGTAGATGCTCAGTAAATATTGGTTGTGGCCAGGCATAGTGGCTCACACCTGTAATCCCAACATTTTGGGAGGCTGAAGTAGGCAGATTGCTTGAGCTCAGGGGTTCAAGGCTAGCCTGGGCAACATAGTGAAACCCCATCTCTATAAAAAATACAAAAATTAGCCGGGCATGGTGGCACATGCCCATAGTCCCAGCTACTTGGGAGGCTGAGGCAGGGGGATCAATTGAGCCCAGGAGCTCAAGGCTGCGGTGAGCCATGATCATGTCACTGCACTCCAGCATGGGCAACAGAACAAGACCCTGTCTCCAAAAAAATAAAATAAAATAAAAATAAACAAATAAAAAATAAACAAATTCAAAGGAACTTGAAGTTCTTCCCCTGCAAAAACTTTTTGGCCATCCCTCTGCCACCAATTCTCCCACCGATTCCTCCCTCAGAAGCCTGGATACCAGTGATCCTTTCCCTTCCTTCATTTACTATTTTCTTTCTCTAGAAGTAGGGAGGTTTACCGACGGCTCACAGTCCTGCTTTCTTAGGGAACTAATTTAGCAAGGGAAACTAGAAAATCTATCAGTCAGTTCCCACCAGCCCATCACAGCCCAGGAGCTTGAAATTAACAATCACAAATAAATAGAGCAGCTCAATATCGAAGAATTATTGGTAGTGCTAAAGTTCCACTTTAACTTGCAGAAAAGAGCCTGTTTAGCAGAAAGAAAGAGAATCCTGGAAAGTTAACACTGGATGGAATCTTAGAGATCACCTACTTCTCCCCCTGATTTTTCCAAATTAGGAGACTGATGCTTTGAGAGATGAAATAACTTGCAGAGTTACTCAACTAGTTAGTAGCAGGGCTGGGACTAGACACCCAGTCTCCTGTGAGAGACAGCTATTCTATCCATGCCACTTGCGGGGGATGTGCATCTAGCAAAGCACATTATAAAGTAGTGGCTCATCTTAAGCCATCAGGAATGGAAATCAAACCATTCAAACTCTTCCTCTTCTCTCTAGCAATATCTTTCTTTTTCTTTGCATTTCTGTGTCCTGGTCTCTCTCTCTTTCTCTCTCTCTTTCTCTCTCTCTCTCTCTCTCTCTCTCTCAAAATCACTCCTTTTTCTTTCTGTGGTTCCTTCTCATTGTGGCATGCCTGCATGATTGTCCTGATTTTTCTGCTCTAAGCTATGGTTTCTTGTCCAGAGAAACATATATAAACCAATCAAAACCCTTCCTTGGTGACCTTTGTAGAAAAGAATACTTGGAATTTCGATGTGAGAGAAGCTGAACCTCTCTCCTAACCTATCCAGTCAATTAAAATGAGTCTCTGGCCCCCCTGAGGGTTGTTAACCAATCCTAAGAAAGAAAAGATCAATCTCATTTCTTCGTCACCACTGTGCAGGGAGGCTGCCAACCAGTCAGAATCTGCCACTCGCAGTCATTAGAAAAACTGGCCAATCAGCCCAACCTTGTTATATGGTCTGGTAGGAAAAGAAAGGGACTGTTTGGAAAGGATAGTTCTGTCTCCACACCCTTTCCTTCCTGGACCCCAGTTTTCCCTTTGTGAAGTCAAAGAAGGATCCTTCCCAAGCCCATAGTTAAGAAGATCCCCCGACCCTCAGCTAAGCTTCTCTTGGATCTTTTGATGTCTTCAAATTCACCCCCCTTACAAACCTCCTTTTTGTAGCCTCACTGCTCCCTTGAGGATCTGATTTCTTGTTTCAAACCTGGTAGTAATAGTCCCAGGATTCTCAGCCTCCCCTCAGATCTCCATTCGCCAGGACGTAAAATAACTTGTTTTGCATGATTTAAGCAGGTGAAAATGTTTTTTAAAGTGCAGCTGAGTCTCTTTCAGGAGATACTGTCTCACGGACCTTGCAATAAACAGTCTAAAGGGAGCAGCGCAGAACTGAGTTGCAATGCGCTTAGCTATAGAAACAGTGATGATGGTGGTGGTGGTGGTGGTGGTGACGATGAGCATTTTGATGCTAGCAATTACTGAACTCTTACTGGGTACCAAGCACCTTGCTAAAAGCTTCATATCTATTATCCCAATATTGGCTGCGTGGTAAATACTATTATTCTTCCCAATTCACATAGGAGGAAATCGATTTAGAAGGGGTTAAATAGCTAGCTCAAGGTCACACAGCAATTTGGGAACTCAGACTTGTCTGAACGCAGAGCCCATTATTCTATAAGGGTAAGAGAGTGTTAAACATTGCACGCTGTCACAACTTTTGGAAAGAGCCAGCTTTAGCTTCCTCCCAGGCCCCTTCTCTGATCCTCCTCTGGGATTGTTAGCTATATCTGAGTGTCTGAATTGTCACAACAGCTGCAACAGCCATTATGGACATAGTGGCTCCTAAGAACCGTGGACTTTCTCTGCCATTGAGGATGTGAAGCTGAGAGCTAAAAAAAATTCATTTTTGGTGGGAGTGGAAATGTCTGGAGACCTCAGGGGATAAACTCGTGTCTTTGCCAGCCTGCCTTTCTCCTAACAGCATCTCCACAGTGCCTGACACCACTTGGTACTTGATAAATACCTGTTGATTGATTCCCAAGGATCCCAGTTCCCACCTACCTGCCCGCTCGGGGCACAATCAACAACTAGAACTGGAGATTTGGGGATTTCAGAGGAACCTGTGAGAATCCTAACTGAGCTGGAAACGTGAATTTAGGAAAGACGAGCAGTCCCCCACCCTCCTCTTCTCGCCCGCTTCTCCTATTTCTCCCCACTCCTTCCCCTCCCTTTCAGGAGCTCAGGGCCATAAAAATGCAGATGGAGGATCGGTGTGAAATAACGGGCCCATATAAATCCCTCTGCCGCCCGCCTGCAAGATGGATTGGCCGCATTGAAATTCCTCCGCGAGGATAATTAAACTCGGGGCCTCATCCGGGCAAAATTACATTCCTGTAATGGCGTCGCTCGGGGTCCCGGGAAATTGCTCCGTGGGCTTTCAGCGGCGGTTTTTATCGCCGGCCGGGGTGTGCCTGGCTGCGGCTCGCCTCTCCTCCGGGACCGTAAAGCTGCTGCCGTGATTTATCCTCCCCTTCTCCCAAATCCGATTAAATGGAGGAGCTCGGGGCCGGGGCGCCGCGGGGCCCGGGAGCCGGGAGGGGGCGGCGGGAAGGACGGGGCCAAGGAGGGGAGGACAAACGGCCCCTCAGAGGGTGGCGGATTTGCCTTTATTTACAGCCGCGGCTTTCTTTTTATTTTTTATTTTTTATGGGGTTTGGTTGAGTTTTTCCCGTCTTTCTCGTGCTGCGTTCAAGCACGACGCAGGGACGGCAGGGATTTGGAGCTGGGTAGGCCTTGTCGCCCTGCTCCAAAGGGCAGGGCAGGTCCTATCTGGGAGACAAGAAGGCCGAGAAAAGATGAGGGCCAGAAAGCCGTCCACCTCGGGAAGGACGAGCGAAGGGGAGAGAAGACGGGCGTTTAGGAGAGCATCTGGGGGAGGAGGGTGCTGCTTATTCCAGCTCGCGTGGGTGAAACCTGAGCAGAGGCTCGGGCAAGCCTGGAGTGACCTTGCAACCTTACAGCGGGTCGCAGGTGCCCGTTATTCCTAGACTGTCCCAGGAGTCAGGAAAAAGAGCTTCGGATCATATTTAGCCCTATCTTCTGGCTCGCCGATGCTGCTTTTCTCACGGTTTATCACAGGAATGGAAAGGAGGAAACGGGAGGGGGGAAAGGGCGAAGCCACCAGAAGCAGCTGTGACATTTTGCTGACTATTCGCTCATTGGGCCGGCTTGCCATCCAGTGATGCCAGGTTCTCGAAGCGACATAAAGCAGGACTCCCAGGATCTTCCTCCTGCTGCGTTTTAGGCACTGAACCCCAATTCCGACTGTATGTTAACACTGAATTCTGAGTGGTAGTTTTGTTTCGGCAGTGTGACTGCGCATGCTTGGAAAGGGGACGCCAGTCCGAGATCCCAAACGCTGTACAGACCAAACCGCACGCCACGTTACGGATCGGCTTACTCAGTTGGCCTCATTTCTCTGCACACTGTCGGCTTTCCCTGTAGTTTCTCCTCTCGAACGCCAGGTGGGGCAACTGGCCGAATACCGCCACAGCCCTGGCAGGCGGCGCTGTGGTGCCTGGGCCGATTCTCTCCACGTTGCAATCGCTCTATCTGTGGCGGAGCGACTCGTTGGCCCGGGCCACGCATGCGCTGAGCCTTCGTTTCGCTCTTCCCGCCGCTCTGCCCCTCCTCTGTCTTCTCTGCACTGGGAGCAGGTAAGGCTTTGGGATGTCGTACCTTCTGTGCGCCGCGCACGCGCGCGGGACACCCCACCTCGCGCGGATGCTTTGAGGTTCTTACCTTGCTTGTTCCCACCCTGGTACTCGCGCCCTCCCTGGCTCCCGCTATCCTTGAGTCTTAGAGCTGGCTCTTCCGCATGCCGGTGACCTCCAGCCGCGCGGGCCTGACGCCATCTTGGATGTCTCGTAGCGGGAGGGTGCCTTGGAGCTGGCCAAAGTTAGATCCTAGAGTGCTGCTTTTCACCTGTTCCACCCAGCCCTTACAGACACGCTTTTCTCGCCCTCTGGCCCTATCAGATTGTCACAACCCCCAGTCCCTCCCTTCCTATCTCTGCTTTCTCTTCTCATCCTGACTTATGCCTTCTTATTCTGAAATCTCCAGACTTTCGGCCCCAGGACCTCAGGTGCTCCGAGCAATGGAGATAGTGGATCGTCTAAAGTCACCAGTCCCTCTAGTCAGCATCCCTCAATTTAAAAAGTAAACCTTGAACATGGTAGAAGTGGAAAAAAAAGAAAAAAAGCCAAACATCGCCTCCCGACAGGTTGTGCCTTGGGATAGCTAAAGCAGAAATGAGAGGCCGGTTGCTTTGGAATCAGTAGTTATTTACCATACCTTTCTTGCACCCTGGCACGCTGGTGAAGTTGGAAAAGTCACAGTGGTGGGCTAGAGATAAGGGTTTCTGTTCGAGGCAGCAGGCCCAGAAAGGTGGGGTAAGGCCAAGCTACTGGGGCAGCATGAGTCCCTGCCTGCCAGCTTTTCTGTCAAGGATCAGTTAACCTCCCCAGATACTGCGTTAGGAGGAAAAGAACGTTTAAGGAAAAGAATGGTTAAGTCAGCACCCCTGTGACTGTCCTACACTAAGGAAAAAGCCCATGATGATTTAGGAGTCCTGATTCTGGATAGTGCCTTCATCCAAGTTGTAGGCTAACAACTGCAGACTTGCCTGATGGGATCACTTAATTGCCACCCATTGTTATGGGTTTATTACATGCCAGCACCACATTGAACTCTGTATGTTAATTGGTAAATGAAGATATTTAATCCCCCTAAGAACCGCATTTTACAAATGATGATATTGAGGTATAATTGCCTTCGGAAAAAACCATGCCTTCCTTTTCTAAAAGCCTTAAAGAACTATTGGACTTTGACCCAAGAAAACTTGAATAGTACAGAAGCAAAACTGGGTTAGAGTTACATATGGGCAAAAATCAGAGTTTTAGATAGGACAAGAGCTGAGGACATCCATTAATCTAAAAGTAATTAAGGCTGGGTGTGGTGGCTTACACCAATCCCAACACTGGGAGCCAAGGTGGGAAGATTGCTTGCGGCCAGGAGTTCCAGACAGGGTCACCACAAAAAAATTAACAGTAAAGTAAGCAGTTAAGATCTTGGATTCAGAAGTGTTATAACCTGGGACAATTTCAGTTCACTTCATTTAAGGAAGTGGCATTTAATAGGCCTAAGCATTCACTGAGTATCTCAGTCTGTGACATATTAGAAAGTATGTAACTGGCTAGGCACAGTGGCTCACGCCTGTAATCCCAGCACTTTGGGAGGCCGAGGTGGGTGGATCACGAGGTCAAGAGATCAAGACCATCCTGACCAACATGATGAAACCCCATCTCTACTAAAAAATAGAAAAATTAGCTGGGCGTGGTGGTGCACGCCTGTAGTCCCAGCTACTCAGAAGGCTGAGGCAGGAGAATTGCTTGAACCTGGGAGGTGGAGGCTGCAGTGAGCCGAGATCGTGCCACTGCACTCCAGCCTTTTGACAGACTTGAGACTCTGTCTCAGAAAAAAAAGAAAAAAAGCATGTAACAAAAGATGCAAGTTCAAATCTAGCCTCTACCACTACCGTAGTTTCAAGACTGGGTTTAAGGTCATGCTCTTGCATTAAGTATGTCTAATAATCATCTGGGAAACTTGTTTAAAATACAGGGCACTTGAGCCTTATTCCCAGAGATCTTTTTTGTTTGTTTATAGATGGGGTTTCATGTTGTCACCAGGACTCTAGAGTACAGTGGCATGATCATAGCTCACTGAAGTTTCCAACTCCTAGGTTCAAGCAATCCTCCTGCCTCAGCTTCTGGAGTACCTGGGACTACAGGTGCACAGCTACCTCACCTAGCTAATTTTATTTTTTGTAGAGACAAGGTCTTGCTGTTCGAGCAGGCTGATGTCAAACTCCTGGCTTCAAGTTATCTTCCGCTCCAGCTTCTCAAGTGTTGGGATTACAGGAGTGAACCACTGAGCCTAGCTCCCCCAAGAGATCTAGACCAGGAAGGTCCAAGTTGGTCCCAAGAATATACATTTTTTTAATACGTGCACCACCCAGATAATTCTGCTTCAGATGGGCTTCTCACTTCACTTGGAGAAACCCTGCCTTTAGCTTTTTAACTCATCTTCTCAGGTAAGTTCACCTCTACCAACTTAGACACCTGTAGGGTGTCAGGACTTCTTTATCTTGGGGAGACACAATTTAATACCTTTTAGATAAAGTAACTGCAGAGTTCCTCCTTGATCTTCCTCATCCTATTAATACAAGAAATTGAAGTATTTTGAGGAATCAGGTACTTCCAGGGATCAGCAAAGAGATTGTTGGAGACCTTCCAGTGTCTTGGCCGTCAACAAATATCTCCCAAAACTACAAAGACTCTAATCTTTGAAGGGCAACTTTTCAAGGCCCACACGATGAAGTCTTGAGAAGGGTTCCTTTTGAATAAAAACTGAGGAAAACTTAGGCAAAAGACACTGGGAAAATTCCTCTGGCAACTGCAAATCCATGAGGCTATGGAAATGGGTAACAGGTGTTAAAGCTGAGCCCAAATGATCCCTTGTTCAGACCAGGGGAAGTCACTTGATTATAAGGAAATCCTGGGAGCTGTGTGGGGTTTCTGGAAGAAGTCATGACTTCAGGGTTCTAATTCTATTTCTGCCCGTGACTTAAGGTCAGTCACTGTTCTCTGGGCCAGCTAAGCGTTCTAGGGTCCCACTTCTTCTAATAAGGATGTAGTTTAATGAATAAAGAGAGTGTTTACAAAACTGCTCCTGTAATTCCAGCTTTCCTGCCAGAGCCCCTCACCCCCTGAAAATGTTTGCCTGCTCCAAGTTTGTCTCCACCTCCTCCTTGGTGAGTACCTGATTTTCTGGGAGAGCTTTAAAGGAGAGACATCTTATCTCTCTCTTTCCACCAGACCTTGTTCTTCACAGCACAGCTGGGTGAAGGTGAGTAAGATTCTTGGGGCTGGGTGCAGTGGCTCATGCCTGCAATCCCAACACTTTGGGAGGTCCAGGCAGACAGATCACTTGAGTCCAGGAGTTTGAAACCAGCCTGGCCAACATGGTGAAACCTCATTTCTACAGTTGGGCATGGTGGCAGGTGCCTATAATCCCAGCTCCTCGGGAGGCTGAGGCAGGAGAATAGCTTGAACCCGGGAGATGGAGGTTGCAGTGAGCCAAGATCATAACCACTGCACTCCTGCCTGGGCAAAAGAGGAAGACTCTGTCTCAAAAAATAAAAAACAAGATTCTTGGGAAGAGAAGCCCTTTGCTGTCATTGCCTAACAGGAGAGAGTGAATGCTTGTTAGACATTCTCTTGCCCCGTATCACTTAGTGGCCTGTTAACTTTTTTATTTTATTTTATTTTTTGAGATGGAGTTTTGCTCCTGTTGCTCAGACTGCAATGGCACGATCCACCGCAACCTCCGCCTCCCAGGTTCAAGTGATTCTCTTGCCTCAGCCTCCCGAGTAGCTGGGATTACAGGCATGTGCCACCACACCTGGCTAAGTTTGTGTTTTTAGTAGACATGGGGTTTTTCCATGTTGGTCAGGCTGGTCTCGAGCTCCCAGCCTCAGGTGATTGACCCGTCTCGGCCTCCAAAAGTGCTGGAATTACAGGCATGAGCCACTGCACCTGGCTGTGGCCAGTTAATTCTTACCCAACCATCTTAAGAGTAGAGATGAGAATCTAGACCAAGTTATTCCTATTCCTGAAACTATATGTCTTGTAAACTGGCCATCCAGAGTGGTAAACAAGTAGTTAGATTACATAACTGGGACTGAATATGTACTACGTGTAGGATCTTGTCCTGAGTGAGCCATAGCTAGGAGTTCATTCCGTGACTAAAATTTGGATGGGAAGCTAAACTTTACATAAATACACATTGGAAAAGTATTTAACTCAGAAACAACAGTATGGAAAAAATTTTTAAATTGTAGGTAGAGGAGGCAGTTGGTTCATTCACAAATAAAAAGGAGTACCATTTATTGAGCATTTACCATGTGCCTTAGCACTGAGTTTACTAATTGGTATTCATAATCTCATTTACTCTTCAAATCGACTCTGGGAGATGATATTTTGATTTGATAAATGAGAATACAGGCTTAGAAAGATTGAAGTGACTTAACCTGAGAGCACATTGGTGGCAATAGAATTAAGATTTGAATCTCACCCTATTCTGATGCCTAAGCCCTGGCTGTTAATCACCATGTATCTGTTTTGGCGTCACTGGCTTGGGGTTAGTCAGAAAAGGCTACTGGAATGAGGTAAATTTTGAGCATGAATCTTTGTTCTTATTTTCCAAAAGCAACCTTTTGGATCCTTTATTCAGGGAAAGTCACTGAGTTTTTTTGTGTGGGCTGACCATTACCCATACAGATGGCTCCCAACTTTATATGAGTTAAGATTTTTTTTTTTATGATGATGATACAAAAATGATATGCATTCGTTAGAAACCATACCTCAAATTATGAATCTTTCTTTTCCCAAGCCAACGATGTGTGGTACAATACTCTGTTGGAATACTTAGCAGCAAGCCACAGCTGCCAGTCACCTACCCAATCATGAGGGTAAACAACCAATACGCTACAGGGTACTGTGTTGCTAGGTGATTTCGCCTCACTGTAAGCTAATGTAGGCGTTTTGAGGACATTTAAGGCTAGGCTAAGCCAAACTATAGTGTTTAGTAGGTTAGCAGTATTAAATGCTTTTTCAATGTACAATGGATTTATTTGAACATAACCCTATGCTAAGTTGAGGAGCATCTGTATATATCTCCCTTGTTGAGTGAGGCAAATGCTTCTGAGGCTTAGATTTCTTCTTCTTCTCAAAAGCTATAAAAGGATACAGCAAGGGTGAATGCTCCCTTGTTGCCCAAAAGGAAGTAGCCTTTCTTTCCTTAAAGCAAAACCTGAGAAGCAAGAGAAACGGTGTGGTTCTTTAATTTCGGCTTTGCTAAAAGAAAGAATGATTCAGAATTCAAATTTAAGTGTGAGGATGGAAAGGCCATCAGAGGAGAGAAGCTCCTATCTGATGATGTAACAGTGCGGCATAGTTCTGAAACTTCTCTCCAGTCTTCCTTGACCTTCCTGCCCCTGTATGTCATTCCTACTAGGTCAAGAGCACCTCACAGCTGCTGAGCCGTCCACTATCTGCAGTTTTGCTGAAACGACCGGAGACACTGACAGATGAGGTACCTTACCCATAGAGTTGGAACTGGTTTTGGGGGTGATGAGTGGGAGGGTTACCTGCCAGAACCAGGAGGAAGAGTGTTGAGGACAGTCATCACAGGCCATGGGCTTTAGGTGGAGATGGAGGCCAACTAATGCACTGTATACTAGAGTGCTGCAGCCTTTGCCACTGGCAGCACATGCGCATGTGCACTGCTGCTAACTTAGTCGAATGATTGCAGTTGGGAACATCTAGTCTAGGAAGACGATCTCTTTGGGGCAGCAAGAATAGACTAAGGCCTCAGTCTTACACTTCTTGACCACACCTGAGTCTTAAAGGCATTTGAAGTCTACATCCTACATTAAAAGGTTCTACTTAACCAGCATTTTTGGGGCTTAAACAATTTTGTGTTTGAGGGAGAAACCATGGGATTTGGCAGCATAAAGGCTTTAAATGGTATAAAAGTTACCAAAGCAAAAGGTTCCAAAAATCTTGACCTTCTACCTGCCTCTTCTTCACAGAGCCCCAGCAGCTTGGCAGTCTCATGTCCCCTTACCTCATTTGTCTCTAGCCGCAGCTTCCAAACCAGCACCATTTCAAGGGACATCGACACAGCCGCCAAGTTCATTGGGGCTGGGGCTGCCACAGTTGGGGTGGCCGGCTCTGGGGCTGGGATTGGGACTGTGTTTGGGAGCCTCATCATTGGTTATGCCAGGTAAGATAAGTTGGGCCCTCCACTGGTTCTCTGATATGCTTTCCAAAGGTGTGAACTTATTTGGGGGTCTAGAACTACACTGTCCCATACTGTAGCCACTAGCTACATGTTTTTTGTTTTGAGACAGTCTCACTCTGTCACACAGGCTAGAGTGCAGTGGCCCAATCTCAGCTCACTGCCACTTCTGCCTCTGGATTCAAGGGATTCTTATGCTGTGCATGGGGACATGCACCTATAACCCAAGCTACTCAGGAAGCTGAGGCAGGAAAATCGCTTGAACCCAGAAGGTGGAGGTTACAGTGAGCCAAGATCATGTCACTGCGCTCCAGCCTGGGCAACAGAGTGAGACTTTATGGGAAAAAAAGGAAAAGGAAAACAAATATAGGCTAGACGAGGTGGCTCACACCTGTAATCCTGCACTTTGGGAGGCCAAGGTGAGTGGATCACCTGAGCTCAGGATTTAAGACCAGCCTGGTCAATATGGTGAAACCCCATCTCTACTAAAAATACCAAAATTAGCTGGGTATTGTGGTGGGCGCCTGTAGTCCCAGCTACTTGAGAGGCTGAGAGAAGAATTGCTTAAACCTGGGAGGTGGAAGTTGCAGTGAGCCAAGATGGCACCACTACACTCCAGCCTGGGCAACAGAGTGAGAGTCCATCTCAAAAAATATAGATGGATGGCTGGATAGAATGTTTATATCATTGTGTCATTGAAGAAAGTTTGATAAACAGCTTTGGTCTAGAGCAGGTATTGGCAAACTAAGGCCCAAGGGCCAAATCTGGGCCATAGTCTGGTTTTGTATGGTTGAGCTAAAAATAGTTTTCCATTTTTAAAATGTTTCATTTTTTTTAAAAGCAAAAAAGATGGCCAGGTGCGGTGCCTCATGCCTGTAATCCCAGCACTTTGGGAGGCCAAGGTGGGCGGATCATGAGGTCAGGAGTTCAAGACCAGCCTGACCAACATGGTGAAACCCCATCTCTACTAAAAATACAAAAATTAGCCGGGTGTGGTGGCACACACCTGTAATCCCAACTACTCAGGAGGCTGAGGCAGGAGAATCACTTGAACCCAGGAGGCGGAGGTTGCAGTGAGCCGAGATTGTGCCACTGCACTCCAGCCTGGGAGACAAAGCAAGACTCCATCTCAAAAATAAATAAATAAATAAAGCAAAAGAGACTATATGCGGCCCACAAAACCTAAAATATTTACCATGTGGCCCTTTACAGAAAGAGTTTACCTTCTCTGGTCTAGAGACTCAGTGAACATAGTATAGTGGCTTTACTGCTGTTTTTAGCCATCTCTGGGGATTTCTCTTTGTCGCTCCTGGGAAAACTGACACTGCAGCCAGCCCTGTAGTCCCGCCAACTCTGAATAACTCACCATTAAAACCAAATTAATCTTCTAGAGACCAGTAAGTTCTCTTAATGTCTTTTAGGAAATAGAGTTCTTTTTAAGAGTTTGTATTAAGAAGTCTAACTGCCACTTTATTCACTATTCTGTTAAATGCTGGTGTTGATATACCTTACCCATCAAGACTTCTGGAGGTATCAGAGTAAGGGAAATACAAATTATATATTGGCTTTCAATGTTGGGAGTCCTTTATCCATACTACTACAACTCATATCATAAACCCCACAGACCATTTGTAACTTTTTTTTTTTTTTTTTAAACTAGTCTCACTGTAGCCCAGGCTGGAGTGCATTGGCACGCTCTCTGCTCACTGCAGTCTCTGCCTCCTGAGTTCAAGCGATTCTCCTGCCCCAGCCTCCGAAGTAACTGGGATTACAGGCGCGTGCCACCACGCCCAACTAATTTTTTTTTCTTTTGAAGCACTGTGGTTTGTAACACCCAGCTAATTTTTGTATTTTTAGTAGAGACAGGGTTTCACCATGTTGGCCAGGCTGGTCTCCAACTTTTGGCCTCAAGTGATCCACCTGCTTCGGCCTCCCAAAGTGCTGGGATTACAGGCGTGAGCCACCGCACCAAGCCCATTTGTAGCTTCTTAAAGCCCCAAATCTTTTGACTGAAATGAGAGAACATAATATGTCCCTCTTACTCTCTCTTTTTTTAATTTTTTTTTGAGACAATTTCACGCTTGTTTCCCAGGCGGGAGTGCAATGGTGTAATCGCGGCTCACCGCAACCTCTGCCTCCCAGGTTCAAGTGATTCTCCTGCCTCAGCCTCCCAAGCAGCTGGGATTACAGGCATACACCACCACACCTGGCTAATTGTGAATTTTAAGTAGAAACAGGGTTTCTCCATATTGGTCAGGCTGGTCTTGAACTTCCAACCTCAGGTGATCTGCCCACCTTGGCCTCCCAAAGTTCTGGGATTACAGGGGTGAGCCACCATGCCCAGCACCCCTCACTCTCTTGTCTTCTAAAAGAGTGGTGGTCTAATTGTGTTCCATTAATCCCTAGGATTCTGAGGATCTCTCCTAGAGACTGTCTTAGAGAATAAAGGGGAGACCAAGCCATTAAAATTTCCCACTACTTTTATACCATTGCAATTTGGCTTTTATATGTTTATTATTTTGGAGTTCTGCTTAAAGTTTGAAAACACTGCTTAGATAGACCCTGCTACTCCGGATGCCTTTTCTATCCTGTTGGGGCCCTGGATATTAAGTGTCTAGGCCAAAAGGTCTTAATTTGTGGTAATGAGACGGATGACCCATTAGAGAAGGTCATGATTGCACCTGGGCCATGTTACAGGAGTTCAGATTGTCCTCTTTCCCACTTCATTCAGTTCTTACAGAGCCCTTGGGGGATCGGGGCAAGATTTTGGGCATGATGGTGTTCCCCTGAAAGGCTCTTTACGTAAGATAATCTTGAAGAGGGGAATTCTCCCTGAGCCTGTCTTAGATATTCTTTTCTTTGTATGAACTAGAAATTCAGTCTTTTTTCCTCCCCTTCTCCCAGGAACCCTTCTCTGAAACAACAGCTCTTCTCCTATGCCATTCTGGGCTTTGCCCTCTCGGAGGCCATGGGGCTCTTTTGCCTGATGGTGGCCTTTCTCATCCTCTTCGCCATGTGAAGAAGCCGTCTCCATATCCCATAGTTCTTTCTCCCATGTATGGTACAGCCCTGTGTGTTCCTTTTCCTATACCTCCCCAGGTACCCTGGGGAACGTGGTTGGCTCAGGGTTTGACAAAGAAAAGACAAATAAATACTGTATTAATAAGATGTTTCCTGAGTCTCTTGTGTATATTTATTTTCCACAGTTGGCTGAGTGCCTTAGTGAGAGTACAAGGCCCGAATGGTGGTGATGGTGCTAAACTCAACATGCATTTGGCTGGGCTCTCTTAATTCTGTTTCAGGAAAGCTTAATTCAAAATAGCACAACATTTTAAATAATTTCCACCTGGCATGGTCTGCTACTTGACTGGGAACATTGGGGTCAGTAGCAACTTAGAGTTCTGGCCTAAAATGTTGGCTAATAGGCTTTCTGTTTCCACTGTCACTATCCTGGCTCAGGCCTTCATTGTCATCCACCTCGTCTATTGCAATAATGTCTTAACTGACCCTCTGCCTCCAGTTTCTTCCCTCCAGCATTTACTTCTCCCTACCACTGCCAGGTGAATCCTCCTTAAGCATAAGACTAGTTTTATCCGTTACCGGTTCAAAAAGTCTCACCTCAGCTTCTCTGCTTTATCTTTTATTCATCCTATACACGACCTAATGTGATTGTTATTTTTCAGATGTTTTCCTGTCTTTACTGTTATCTTCCTGCCTTTTCCTTTCTCTGCCCAATTCTGCTTTCTTTCCCTCAATCTTTGCTCATTTTCCTCTTCTCTCTCTCTTTTTTTTTTTTTTTTTTTTT